GGACATTAAGAAAATGGTTTTGTGGTTTAAGAAAGGAGGGATTCTGGCACGTCTGTGCCGACAGGAAAGTCTAGTAGAGGGCCGAGACAGGAGGCTGCGGGGGAGAGGGCGGGACAGGTGGTGCAGTGTTGGAGCAGCGTGAGAGGTGTGGAGCCGCTGGCCCGGGTAGGTGCGCAGCCCTTTGCTCCTGCTAACGGGGCACAGGGTGTCGGGCCAGCACGGGGCTGGAAGGTGTGGTCAGATCTTGTACAAGTTCTCTTCTGATGGCTTTTGCTTTCCCAGGGAACCGAGCACATAGAGTCACCTGCCACTGGGCGGAAGGATGTGCGGGGCTGGTGGGAGGAGCGGGTAGGGCTGTCTGTGTCCTTAATTGAGTGAGGACAGGTCTCCATGTTCACCTGTTCAGGTCTGGAGAAGTTGGAGAGCTGTATTGAACTCAGTTTGGGTTTCGGCAGGTGAATATAAGAACTTGAGTGAGGAACAAGGGGTTGTGGGTATTCACAGGGATAATGACTGACCAGGGTCTGTAAGCTGGGACATGTGCACACGGTTGGAAGAGGGTGACTGGGTGGCGGGACTAGAATGAAGGGCCAGGGTGGGAGGAGGGTCGGTGCCCGCGTGGCAGTGCTGAGGACGAGGTAAGATGACGCAGGGCGTGCGGCCAGCACTGAGGGGCTGCCTGCTGAGGAAGACGGGGAACATGGGCCGGTGACTGAGAGCCAGGGCAGTGGCAGGGTCACTCTGGACCTCAGAGTCACCCAGAATCATGGCTGCAGTCACCCTGGCCAGGGCAACTGTGAGCCAGGGAAGAGGGAATGGTCTGGAGGTTAGTGAATGACAGCCGCCAGGATACTGAGTCAGGGACATGGATTTAAAAGTCTGAGGTGTGAGAGGAGAGGAGAGAAGGGTCTGGGTGGTCATACGTGTCAAGGCAGAGTCTGGCCTGTCCCAGGGCCCAGAGTCTGGAGTGGAGCCAAAGGACCCCAATCACAGCTCGGGGGAGATGTTACAAGAGGACTGAGGGTTTATTGGGTTTTACCAGTGACCACACCAGCAGGCACAGCAGAAAGTCTCAGGGGGCTGGTTTAGAAAAGAAGAAGAAGGGGATTCATGGGGATGAGGGACACACAGAGTCCTGACCACCTCAAGTGACAACCTTCCCAGTGACAGGCTCTCATCTTACCCTGTTTTCTTCCTGTCTTCTCTTATCACCACAACCTTATCTATCTATTTGGTATTTGGTTTTTTAATCTATTTTCCCTGTTGAAATGCAAATCTGTGAGCCCAGCAGAGATTTGAGGGTGACCTTTCTTCTACTGTATAATCTGGTTGCCCTTCTCCCAAGACAAGAGACCCCAAAATAGTGCAATCACCTATATTCGCAACCTCAATTGAGAGTGCCCTTTAGAGTTGCTAGAGTAATAGACAGTATCTATTTGCAAAATCTATAGGTTCTGGCAGTCCTCACATACTACGGAAAGTGATTTGGTTGGTATTCTTAGAGAACCGATCAGGTTTCTGCTGTGTGCATTCTTCTGGCTTTGTATTGTCAAACTCATTCCTACCTTGAAGGAGAGTTAGTAATACCTGGAAAAGAGAGAAGTAGGTGTGACAGGAAACCCAACTCGGGTCTTTCCTAAGAGTCAGGCCTCCTGTTGCTGATTCTGGCAACTTTTCCATTTCCAGCCTGGGGAGTTAGAGGAGAGAATTTCCAACATCTTTCCCAACATTATCACCTGGACCCTGGGGTTTATATAGCAGAGAAGTTCTTGGGCAATATCGCGCATGTGATCATCCCAGCACTGAATTTATTGTGTGTGTGATCTTGCTAGCACTGACTTTATCACAAGTATGAGCAGGCATTTACCATGTGAGTGGCCTTGCTAGCAAGGTATTTTACTTTTGCAGGGGCAGTAGGAGGAAGGGCAACCAGGCAGAACCAGCTGGAAGTCAACGAGGACATTGAAACGGTGGGGACAGTTTACGTAAGACCAAATCAGACATGTTTGTAAACCTAGACAGTTGAGGGGAGTCCTGCAATGTTAAAGGATCCCTTGGGAATTTTGTGTTTTCTTTGACGTTCTGGATGAAATCAGGTGCAGGTATGGTGTAAGGGTCTCTTGGCTGTCCCAGCTGTGACCAGGGACAGCTGGGCCAGAGCCGGCTGCCTGGCCAGGATGTGCAGTGTGGCATGCTTTGAGGCGTCATCGGGTTGGTTCATCGTAACGCAAGCTCATGGGGCAGCAGGTCCTGAACAGCTCTGGTTGCCCACTTGTGGTGGGAGAACTAACGGGGCGTCCGTGTGTCACTTGCAGCGCCACTTCTGAAGTTTCTCAGGTACCCCCGGTGCTAAAGGAACTGGGGAACGCCAAAGTGATTTTGTTCATCTTTGAGTCTCTCCTCATTTGCCCTCTCTGGCTGCTGATTCTGCCCATCAAGAACAGAGGGAACAGAGTGCCGTGTCTTTCCTGTGTGGCTACGCTGGGTTGAGGGGCCTTGCAATTAATCACAGAAGCATCCTTGGCAGCTGATGCTAAAATGAGCCGACGTGGCCTTGGGATTCAAGGCCAGTGTGAAAGAAGAGCATGAACGTGGGCATTAGTATTTCATCTTTGAAGGGTGTGAGCTAAGTGAGGACAAAAAGCATCCCTCCGGGAATGGCAGAAAGGTCAAAGGAGGAGGCTGGGAGGACACAGCAGCCACATTAGATACAGGTTTTTTGTGTTGTTTTTTTTCCCCCCCTCATCCCCCTACTGGGAAATCTGAAAACTGCCTTTTGAATCTTTTATATATGTTGTAATGCATTTTTTTAATAACAGCAATACAAATGTAAGAGAGTTCAGTTAGGTATAATCCCTCAAATGATTTTTACATAACTCTTTACATCATAATCATTTTATTTATATGCAGTGATTTCATAGGGGAAGAAGCCATATGGATTTTCCTTTCCTCATTGAGATAAAGGAAGCATTTTTGCCTTTGGCCTTATTTCCTTAACATGGGTGAACTTCCAATGTTAGCAGCTCCTGGCTGGCATGGCTTCTGGAGGAAATTTGGCTCATTTTTCCAGGGATAGCTCAAGGCCTTCCCTCGTCCTCAGGGTGAGCCGGGTCCTCCCTTTACGTGCACACCCAGAGCTCTTGGTTTACACCTTTTTCAGCAGTTACTGCCCTGGCGCATCGGTTCTTCATGGCAGGAACCACACCCCACTCTGCTTCTGTCCAACAGACAGAACAGCTACTGAATCGTTATTGAGTCAATGGACCCAGGGCAGTTGTGCACAACAGTTGGTGTTAAAACTGCCACAGCATTGTAGAAAGTGCAAAAGGAAATTCTTTCTTGTTTTACAGATCAAGGCTTATACAGGTACAGATCCCCTCAGGGAGTCCCCATGTTCTCTTTTAGTAAATTCATCATAAAATGTCATCTGCTGTGAGGAAAGGCCAAGGACATCTGTCAATTTTGTCATATCTGCACCCATAGCACCTAGACTGGCTCAGGTATCCAGAGGCATTTATTCAATGTATTGATAAGTCATAACCCAGCACCTCCTTTTCCAGGTGGGGAAACTAAGGAACAAAAAGGTGACTGGTTCAGAGATCCGGGCAAAGGACTCAGCAACAGCTCTGATTTGCAACATCAGGCAACTGTTTTCATCTGGAAGCCGCCCGTGGGGGCTGGAGTGGGGTGGGGGTGTGACGGGAGGGGTTGCTCCAAGGCCGGCCGGGAAGCAGCCTGCAGCCTCTCACCCTGGAACAGCAGCACGGGCGGCGCCTCAAGGCTCAGCATCCGCCCTCTTGAGTAGCCTGAGCGAGTTTCACAGCAAAACTGAACTCAAAGTTCTTGGGTGTCAAACCAGGCAATGCTCCGTACCAACTCCTTATATTTTGTTAAACAAATAAATAATCAATATTTCCAAGGATGGAAGAGGGAGAGGGAGAGAACCATATGGAATACAGTGACCTGTGAGCCTGACTACATTATTAATGAGTAACTCAACTGCAGGGAAAGGACCAACCTAAGTCACGTGGAAAACAGGTTTCGACCATATTCTCTGAGGCTGAAGACAAAAAAGAACTGCATGCAAATATTGTACTCTGATTAGGAGCTCGCTTTTCATACCGTGCGGGATCCTGAGAGCGGGGCTCTCGCCGGTGGAGAGAGGAGTTATGAAGAGAAAGGGCGCTGCGGTGGTTTTGAAAGTGCTGGAGTTGAAGGGAGGACACACAGGCATTCTTTGTACTATTTTTGCTATTTGTTTTGGTGAGCTTGAAATTATTTCACAGGAAAAAATTTAAAGAAATGGTCAGCAACCGTAAGAAAAGATCCTCAACCTCACTATTAATGGGAAAATGCAAACGGAAATAACAATGAGCCTCTTTTTGTTTGTTTGTTTGTCCATTAGATTGGTAAAACAAAAGATTAATAATAGGAAGTTTGGGATTAAAGGAGATGGTGTCAGACTGTTGGAGGAGGGTATCAAACTGGCAAATCCCCTGTATGGGACAAGGTAGCCTTCTCTGCTCAGACTCTGAAGCGCAGAGACCCTAAACGTGTCCTATCTAAAAGTGTGGGTTCTTGACTGTTCCAGAAATCTACCCTCCTCATACATAAACCCCCATTTTACATATAGAACAATTTAGGGTCTTTGTAGCAAGAGGTCGTAAACCATTTCCATGCCCATTGTAGTCATGGTTAAAAAATCCCTGATGATTTCGTGAAGATCATGCAGAGAGGCAGGGAACTGCAAACTGTCTCCCAGCCACAAAGCAGTTTATTTATTTTGTGAAATAAGATCAACAAGAATGAGTCTTGCACACGTGAAATCAGGCCCAGCGTCTGTTTTAGGCTCTAAGTCACTGAGGACAGAAGTTAGAGGTGAAGAAGTGAGAATTCTGCAAAAGGCCCAGCTATCATCAGGGTGGGACTTGAACTGGTGTGTATTTGAGAAAAGGTTTTTGTTTAACCTTGGAAACCCTCCTGTTGTCTTCTGCTTCCAGTTGGTGGCAGCCATTGTGTTCATCAGCTTCGGTGTGGTGGCCGCCTTCTGCTGTGCCATCGTCGACGGTGTGTTTGCCGCTCGGCACATAGTGAGTTCCATCTTTTTAATTTTGTTCTCAATTGCTTTCTTGGGTTTCAGAGCTCTACATACAAAAGAAATTTCCCAGAGCACAGAGGCCTTCACTGTTTCTCTTCTCATTGTGTTTGTCAATGGATGTCTTTCCTGGTCTCGCTTTTCTTAATTTCCTGCGCACACACACCCACATCATCACATCAGTTAGAATCATATTCTTCAGCTTCCCAGGTAACTTTCCTCAGATCTTTCTTTAAATTTAACAAGACAAAATACATCCTGAAATCCACTGACTCATGACATCCCAGATTTTATAATTCAAATCTGTTTCTCTTAAAAGATTATGACAGAATTGTCTAGCTTGCCGCCATAGCCTGTTAAACCCTTCTAGGTTTATCTAATGGTGTAGAAGCCTGAGATGGAAGATTCTATCAAAAGTTAGTCACATGCCACTCAATGATGTTTCAGTCCATGACTGATTGCATATGTGATGGTCTCATAAGAGAGCTGAAAAATTCCTATCACCTAGTAACTTTGTAGCCGTGGCAAGGCCCTAGGGCAATGCATTACTCACATGTCTGCGGTGGTGCTGGTGTAATCAAGCCCACTGTGCTGCCAGTTGTGTGAGTGAGACAGAAAAATGCAGCAGAACCTTCCAGGGGAGCCCAGACCCTGTGGAGTCAGCTGGGTCCCTGCAGGGATCATGGAGAGGGCCCGGACCTGCAGGCTAGAGGGCCACCTGGAAGAGGTGGAGGCCTAACACCCCCAACCAAGACCAGGACTTGCACCACGATTGTCCTTCTAGGTTATTCATTGTTTATTGAACGACTATTGATATTGATAGCACTTTTTAGGAAATTGTGCATACTTTGTCCCAGACTATTGCTTCTCATTTTTTATTTTTGGAAAGATAATTGAACTACAAGTCCCTGGCCAATATTTGCCGTCATAGTTCTGGCCCTCTGCTTGGTTAGAACAGAAAGCATACCCTTTGATCTAACCTGGTTTCCCACCCCGTGCCTAAGTCACTGATGTCGGCAGGTCGCTTTGGTGTTGGACTGTCATACTTGCATTTGCTCAAAAGTCACTCAGTCAGCAAATATTGATCAAGGGCCTCACCCAAGCTGGGGATGCGAAGATGGACATGCCTCGGCACCATCCTCAAAGAGCAAGCACCCTGGTACTCAAATCATGCCAGCTGGAGGTTGATAATTCCAAGGTCTTCTAAGGAGGAAATCACATGTCTGTCCTCAGAACGCTGTTGTGGGCGTAGCGCCTCGGAGACAGATGTGTATCTGGGTGCACGGTGGGCGGATGGACCGGTAGATCCACAGACAGGGCATATGAGTGATGCTGCCTGACCTGGAGTCAGCTGGTTTCCCTGCTGAGGAGGCTTCCTCTTATCACAGGGACCCTGAGAGGGTACACAAGGCAGCCCATGTGAAGCCCTGGTGTGGCCACGAGGGGCCGGTTAGTAACAACAGCACCCGTGACCACTCTGACCATGTGTTTGCGGATGCCACACAAACTCATCCCTCTCTGTCAGTGGAAATGGAGAACAACAGGTTGATATAATTTCTTATGAGAATTTTCAAAATGAGAGTCAGGCAAGTGGTTTCAAGAACCCTGGTTTTGAAGGAAAAACTGGCCTTGCCTTCCTGAGACAGGCGTTTTCTCTTGATGGGGGGCTCACTGGGGCTCCAGCAGCTGGAGGTGGGGGTCCCAGCCCTGCTGCTGTGTGCGTCAGCTTTTCCTAGACCTCATCTCTCCCTCAGCTTATGTCTGAGAGAAATTTCCTTCAAAACCAATGGTTTCCCAGGCGGAGGGCTTGCCTCCATCCAGCACTGCAGGAGTAAACAAGGACGCATGCTGTGCCTCAGCCCTACCTTGTTTCGTGGGTGGGTAGGATTCTTTGAAGCGATTCCCTGTGGCAGGCAAGTATAAATACCACGAGATGTAATTCCAGGCTCCCTGGTTCCAAGTTCACACCTCGTGAAGTGCACTGTGACCCACGGGAATCAGAAGGTCATCGCTGGCGGGAGACCTCTCAGAAATTAGTCCACCTATCTCTTCCCACCCAGTCAGGCATTGGGTCAGATCTCCCGGACTGCGGACACATGGGTTCACAGTTCCCTGCAGGAGAAATGGGAAATAAAGGAGTTTATAGTCCTTGGCTGGGCCTTCTGTTCCAGCTCAGGGTGGCTCTTCTCTAGCGGAACAACTTTGTGGTCACCTCAGAGTGTTTTAGTGGCTATTTTGGGGCATCTTCAGTGACTAAGGGCATAGCACCAACATTGGGGACGAAGCGTCCTCTTGTCTCCTGGGCAGTTCCAAGTTCCTTTACTCACCTCACAGCCACTTACTGAGGTCCTGCCTGTGTGCCAAGAATGCAGGGGCCAGGGGCAGCTGGCTTCCCTGGAAAGGGTCAGAGAGTTAACACATTAGGGTTGCGGCCACGTAGCCTCTGCCATGGCTACTCAGCTCTGCTGTCAAAGCACAACAGCAGCCACCAACAATATGTGGACAAATGAAGGTGGCTGTGTGCACCTGATTTATAAAATCAGGCAGTTGGCCAACCCCTGCAGGAGACACATGAGGTTTTCACTGAGCTTTAACGACTTGCAATCTGATGGTTAATGTGTTGTCTTAGTATTAATTTATGTGTGATGGTTAAGAAATACAACTGTGCGAAACGGCCTTCCTGAACCCCTGATGTCCGTTTTGCTCAGCTGCAAGGACACCAGCTCTGGGCTTTCTCCAGGCCCAGATAAGGTTACGGTTCTCCCCCCAAAACACAATTTTCAATTTCAACATAAATTTGAAAACTAAGTTTGTGTAAAAACTAAGTTTACATTAAAAACATTAAGCTGGGACTAAAATAGGTTGCAGTTTTATTTAATGTAAACTAATAAGGATTATTTCATCCTGATTGAATAGTAAAGGTTGGACAGAACCACTGGAGCTTCTGTGTTAGGAAAAGAATTCACTAAAAAGTCCAAGTTTTAAACCAAGTTTTCATCACTGATTTAATGTGATGCTCAGCTGGTAGTTGATTATGTTTTATTAAAGCTGTTCTGGACTAAATATTTGTGCCCTTATTTCCTCACAGAAGGTATCTGTGGAAGCCCTAAGCCCTGTGTGATAGTGTTTGGAGGTCAGGCTTTTGGGAAGTGATTAGGGTTAGGTGAGGTCATGAGGGTGGGGCCCCATGATGGGATTAGTGCCCTTGTAATGAGAGACCACAGCTCTTTCTTCACCGTGTGAGGGCACAGCAAGAAGGCAGCTGCCTACAGGCCAGGAAAAGGTCCTCACCAGAACCCAAACACACTGGCACCCTGACTTCCAGCCTCTAGAACTGTGAGGAAAAATGTCTGTTGTTTAAGCCATCCCATCTGTGGTATTTGTTATGACAGCCTGAGCTGACTGAGGCAGAGCTAATGGTAAAATGTGCTCTCTCAGTCCTGGGCAGTCAGCCCATGAGCTGGGCAGGACTTTCAGGCCAAAAAGGCATGAGGGTGACTTTTGAGTGACCGGTGAATATGGACTCTTTCAGCAAGGCATCAATGTCCTGTCTGAAAAGCCATTTCCACATGATGACAGGCATGAAGAAGAACAACTGCTCACAGAGTCCAGTCATCAGAACCTGAAGCTTGTCACCTGCATGTTGATGCAGTCACATGGATTGTGCTGGTACCGGCCTGATTCCCTGAGGAACAGACACTAAGCCAGAGCCACTGATAAAAAAGCCTTATTGGAATGACACCCAGGGAGTGAAGAGAGGGGTGGAATCGGGCAGGGGGCAGCCAGCAGAGGGTCTGCATGGGGCGGAACGGACCCTGATCCATAGACGCACCCAGTACTCCAGCCTCACTCAGCCGCCTGTTTCACTTCCCACTGTCTTCTATGTTCCGCAGACATTTCCTGTGCTCTGGTGTCTGCCTCCCTTCAGGAACATAGACTCTATGAGGACAGAGACTCAGCTCCATCTCCCCCACGCCCCACCATTGCTGTGTTGTCCAGAATGGGCCTGGCATGTAGTAATAAAACCAGTATGTCCGTAGCTGCTGCCTGGATGAACAAATGCGTGACTGTCCTTATCTCTCCCCAGTGTCATTGGTAGTTTTTCATATTCTTTTCTTAGGTCAGAAGTAGGAATGCTTTGAGAAATATGACTAACATAATAAGTAGTAAAACTAAATATAGTTGTTGGGATTCTAACTCAGTTTATAAGGGGTTGTATAGTTTTATGGTGTTTTACAGCTTCTGTGTAGACTTAGCTGTTCTCGACCATAGAGATTATAAGCACGTTGTAATTGTGCTTCCTGACAGCAGGAACTATGCCCTCATAATTTGACTCTGTGGCTGCTCCATGAATGTTGAAGAGAGACTCTTTGATGAATAGTTGCACAGGGCCATAGATGGATGTGTACTTGAGTGGTTGGAGGGTGGATGGGTACATGGGGACTATGAATGGATGGGGATGATTGGAAGGATTGATAAGGAGTGGCTAGATGGAGGGATAAAAGGATGGGTGGATAGATACATGGAGGATGGTTAGATGGAGGGAGGGAACGAAGAAGGGAGGGAGGGGGAGGGATAGATGGATAGAGGGATGGATGCATAGATAATTGAATGATTAACTAGATAGATGGTTGGGTGGGTGGATGGATGATGGTCTGGATGAGTGAATTAGTCTGAAATTCATCTTGCTCCCTTCCTAGTGGAAATATATATTTTGCTTTCAGGGAAAGAGATAGGAGCCAGGGGGAGTTGAGAGTTGTAGGAGTTCACCTCAAACAGTGATGCAGCTACCTCCCTTCAGCTGCCCTGTGTTGACCCATGAGAGAAGATGCATCAGCCAGCCTGTAGGGACAGGCTACTTGCTCTCCTGGGCATTCTACCCATCTGCCTCCTGGATGCAGGAGCCGGGCTGCTCTGGAATGAGTTGTGGTATTTCCTCCTTTGGGTTCTCCGTCTGGCAAGCTGTAGTTGGCTTCGGCATCTCCCCTTTAGGGAGGCCTGACACTGGCAGACAGGTCTGAAATTGCCTCTGACCACTCCTGATTTAGACACGAAACTGCACCACTCCATTTGTGTCTGACTCTAGGAAACAAGACCCCTCACCACGGGAAGATGCCGGTTTTACTCCAGTGGGGTGGGTTACTTGCATGATGTCTACCAGACGGAGGTAAGCAAGAGCACTGGTGATGTTTCTTCTGGCTTCACTCTGCTCACCCATGTATCCCACCGCACTTGCTGCGTCCCTAGTCATAATCTGAATGTTTCAATTCGTACAGTCGTCCCTGTCATGTCTCCCCTCTGTGCTGTCGTGAGACATTTATGGCTCACACTTTGTGTTGAGCTAGCGTTAACGTTTCAATGTGTTGTATTTATTTTGGAATCACAGCTGCTGACTTGTCTTTTTTGACACACAACAGTCCTAGAATTCACTGGTCCAGTTTGTTGTGGTTTATCCGATGAGCATTTTTTATTGACTCAATCACTGCAATAAAAAGCTAGTATACCTCACTTACATTGGCTAAGAAACTCACTGACTGTCCCCAGGCCTAGGGCATATGCAGGGTGATTTCATTTCTATTTCTAACTGCGTGAAATGCCAAGAGTAACAAAGTGCACCATGACATGCCATCTTCCCTCAGACCATCCCAGGCAGGCACGTAGCTCCTTTTGTCTGGCTGCTCCACTCCAGCTCTGCGTAGATTTGTGGGTTTAACTAAATACGGCCCCTCAAACTATTTATGAATGCCAGAGAGGAGGGAGGACAGAGTAGCCAGAAATAGATGGGAGCAGCCAGGAGGATGTTGGAGAGCAAACGCCACGGTTAATGTCCTGCGTGGCTGTTGGGGCGCCCCACGAACCATGGGGAGGAGGAGGGGCCTCTGCGCACTGCGGCGCGAGGCACAGAGTGGCTTTGAGGCCAGGCCTCTGCTGTGTGCCTGGGGCTCCCTGTCGCTCCTCCCCCAGGCAGGAGGCACGTTTCTTCTCCAAAGGCCCATCCTGGCACTCGTGGCCTTTCTCCTGGCCAGAGGGAGCCTTGGGGACCTGTCCTGCTCAGAGGGGCACCGGCTCTCCAAGCCGCCACGTGCACCCCACCCTCCAAAGGCCCTCGTGCTGCTCTTTCCTTCCTTCCATCCTCATCGCAATGTGCTCAGTCAGCTCAAGGTCAACTGTTTCACTCTGCTTCTGGGATCATAGACAAACAAGGTCCCCTCCTGACCCGGGTTTTCACCTTCTGACGACAAGCCCCATCTCCATCGCTCCATCAGGGCTTCTCAAGCCCACTGCTCATAGGAATCAGCCCAGGAGCTTGAGCAGATCCTGGTGCTGCATCCTGTCCTAGGGAGGAGGTTTTAATGGGCTTAGGTATTTAAAATCCCCCTGAGATAATGGGGAAGAAGCCACCCACGCAGTTCCAACCAAGGGCCAGCAACTTTCTCCGTAAAAAGTCAGTAATATTTTAGGATTTGCAAGCTAGACATTCTCTGTGCCAGCCACTCAGCTCTGTCTCTCCAGTGCCAGAGCAGCCAGGGACGACGCATACACAGATGAATGTGGTTACGCAGAATGTCCCCTCCAAGACAGTGGACCAGGCTTGGCTCCAGGCCACTAGTGGCTGACCTTGCCCTAAGCCACTGTCCTCTGCTGTTGCTCTCCACACTTCCTAGGAAGGTGACACCTCCCTCAGGGGACACCTTGGGTTAGGGTCAGGCCTTTGCTCTCCAGCTCCCCGTCCTGGGGCTCTGATCTTCCCACGGGCTGGTTGCTGGGCTCGGCGCCACGCGTTGTCCTTGCTCCTTGTGCCTGCGCATGACTGCTGTCGTGCCAGTCCTCCAGTTTCTCCTGTCACGCTTCCCGGCCCCAGCATCTCATTCTGGGTCTGAGGCGCACTGGGGCTACCGTCCTGGGTCCCTGGCCTGCCCCTGGTCTCCACCCTGCCCGGACTGTTTCCCATACCATGTCCAGATTAATCTTGCTACTACCTTTCCCAAGAGCTCCAGCGTGCCCCGCCCCGTTGCCAGTGCGGGTGATTCCCAGAAATTAACGACAGAGCTTTGAAAGGAAGGCCATGTGTCCTGTGGGTTGCTTGAGCTTCCTGACCCACTGGGTCCCCGGGGCGGCTCTGAGGATCTCTAGGGCATGGTGTGCCTGGGTCCGCGCCGCTCAGAGGCGGCCCCCGCTCCTGCAGAGAGGCTCTGAGGGCTTGCTTGAACCTCTGCCCCTCTCCCAGTGCACGCTCCTCCCTCGAAAGCTCCTCCTCCTCGGATGTCACTGTTTTTTTCTGAAGTCAGTTTGCTCTCTGCCCTGCTCACCCCCTAAATGTGAGTAGCACGGCTCAGGCCCCCATATCAAATAGCACAGGGGGAAGGAGGAAGGCATGTGTTTTGGCCCTAATCTTGCTTTTTAAAAAAAACATCAAATGTCCTCCAAACATTTGCAGCCTGGAGGAAGGCCTCTGCCTGGGCTGGGGGCTCTGCAGAGGCTGGCTCCTTCAGCCCAGGCCACTGAGCGCTGTTCTCTGTGTCGTCAGGAAGGGCCCCCCCTGGAGAAGGTCCCCTGCCTGGAGGGATCCCCACCTGCAGGCATCTCTGCCCGGAAGCACAGTGCCCAGAACCCTCTCCCTCTCCTTGTCCATCAGTGTCGTCCACCTGGACCTCCTGGCATGACGGAGCCTGGTCCCCTAGCTCCTCCTGCAGGGCAGGGTCCCGCCGCACCCCCAACCCCGCAGCACCTGGAATAGGGGGAGGGAGGGCAAGGGCAGGAAATGTGGGCTCAGGAGGGAGAGCTGCCTGACTGACCAGAGTGCAGCCCTGCCCACTGTGGGGTGGGAAGAGCAGACACGTGGGGGACAGGTCCCTGAGACCTGATAAGGTTTCTCTGCTTCCAGGTTACCTGTCACTCCCTGAATGGCAAGTGCCAGCTGAAGGTGAGGAGCAACACCTGCTATTGCTGTGACCTCTACAACTGCCATAGGTGAGTCCAGCAGGGAGCGGGGCAGGGCAGAGCACCCCATCGCCTCTGGTGGCCCCTCCTCCCATCCCTCCCTCCTCCCCCCTCCTCAATCTCCCCTGTCCTTGGACACGGCACCTACCTACATCACCTCCTTTAGTCTTAGACACGTAGGTGAGGGATGGGCGTTAGTCCCATTTCACAGATGAGAGAACCGAGGCTCAGTGATGTTGAGAGGTACGGGGAGGGGACGCGTTCTGTGAGCCCCACGGTTCTGTCTCTGTCAGTGAGCCTGTGCCTCTGGACTGAGAACCTCCCCAGCATTTCTCAGTTTTTTTCTCTCCCTTTAGCTGGGACAGGTGGCTAAACGAGGCCGGAGCTGGGTACTTCCCTTGATAAGACACCAGCCAGTTAGGCTCCAGTTAGCAGTTTCCCCTGAGGACAGGCCTCCTTAAGAAGACCGAATACTCCTACTCCCGAACACTCCCGTTATTTCAGAATCCTCCCTTCCCCTCCCTCTGCTGGGAGCCTGAGGGCATTTTTCTCCACTGTTTACTGTGGGAAACTGGCTGAACTCCTGAAGGTGAATCTCATAAGGTTGTAGCGGCCCCATGACGGGGTCCCCCTGCAGGTTTAACGCTCAAACATATTCACAGTGGGTCGTCCATCACAGGTCAGTTTTCTACGCTGGCCCCTGGGTTCCCACAGCGTTAGCGTTTCCGCTGCTGAGCCTCTGCTCCCAAGCTGGGCTCCCTGTATCCACCTGTCTGTCTATCCAATCTGGGGCGCAGCAGTTTGTTCCGCATCCTCCCCTCTTTTGATCCAATAGGAGTTACTGATTTTTCAGTCTGAATTGGCTTTTTACTTATTGTTAGAACCAAGTGCACGTTCCAAGCCGGAACTGGAACCCTCCCCCATTGTCTTTTACTTTTGTGTTAAGAGTTTGAATGCTATTAATGTTAAACTTCCCACTGGCTTACATTAGAGCCAGTGGGAAGTTTAATGTTTGCTTCTGGGTGACTCCTCCCCTGAACTGTTGAAAAGTCCAGGGTTTTAAACGGCACCCCATTTCCCAAGAAGAGGCCCACAGCCGTGAGGCTGCAGTCCAGAGCCGCTGCCTGGACAGGACATCTCAGGCCTGTGCTGTGAGGCCAGGACAAACCCCTCCACCAGCGTGGCCGGGCCGGGGAACTCAGCGGCCGGCCCTTACGCCCTGCCTGCCGAAGGCTGACTCAGTGGGGGCCCTGTCGCTCTGTGCTGGGCCAGTGTTTGGGGAGTGGGCACAGTGCCGGTGCCACGCTCTCTGCTCAGAGCCCTGGCTCCTTCCCCAGAGGGATCCCCAGATTCCTTGGGGACAGACTTACTGCCTCAGCCTCAGGGACCATCATTGGGGCCCTCGGGGCCTGCGAGAACAAAGATGCACGACTTGACAGGATTCAGCTTACCTGGCCTCCACACTGTGTTCTCCCAGCCCTGCTCAGTCACGAGGCAAGGTCCTTTCCTCGCAGGCGGAGGTGACACTGTTGTCTTCTCCCCACGTGCAGCACTGAATACTCTCCGACCTACTACGAGTTCGTGGGCGTGAGCGGCTGTCAGGATGTGCTCCACCTCTACCGGCTGCTCTGGGCCTCAACCGTGCTGAATGTCCTGGGCCTGTTCCTGGGCATCGTCACAGCAGCTGTCCTGGGGGCCTTCAAGGACATGGTGAGTAGGGCCTCCCCGGGGCTGGGCGGCAGCAGCCCTCCAGGCGGACCAGGGCTTTGGGCCGTGTTCTTGGAGGCGTGTAAGGTGGCCTCGTATTCCCCCGTCATAAATGGGGAAACTGAGGCTCATGAAAACCACCTGCCGTACGCTTTAATGACAGCAGGCCTTCACAGTTGTGTCTGGAAGCAGAGTCTATCCCAGCACTCGCCTCTGCTCTCTGAGGTTAATGCTACAGCATCCCGTTCAGGACACGGAGGTTCAGCTACAGCAAAGAAGAACCTGAACTTGACACTTGGATGTGTCTGTCTCCACCCCCTCTCATTCCACCTGCCCATGGACTCACTGGAGCTCTGATTTAGTAGATCTAGGGGGTGGGGTGCTGGGGGCTGTGTTCTCCCAAACTCCGAGGTGATTCTGATGCAGGAACTATGGAGAACGGGCGCTTTCCAGTTTGGGCCGCAAGTGTCAGAGCTCCAGGGAGGGGCAGTGACTGCAGGGGCCTCGCTGTGAAGGCGGCTCTAGCTGAGCCCCGCCCCGGGGCAGTGTCCTCAACAGGGTTCTCTTCTCACAGGAAAACAGCTCACGCATGGGGCTGAGCAGGGCACCGTCCCTGTGGAATCTCCTTTGTTTCATACTAGAAATTCTCCCGTCTTTCACAAATAGCACTCACTGCAACAACTCTCCCTTCATCCATAGAGGTGTCACAGGCGAAGGGACAGTCCCCCAGTGTCACCAGTTGCGAACACCAAGGCATGCACCTAACAGTTCAGGGATGAGGAACCACCCGCCCATTACCCAATTTTAACTCTAAGACCAGTGCAAACACGCATGCAGACCAGTCCCGGTAGGCCAAACCCAAACCTGCTTCCACAGCTAAAGCTCTTCCTGCGTGATCTCTTGCTATTTGGCTGTTCTGGAGACTTTGGTCTTTAACCAATTTTAGGAGCTTAGCCTGGAGCCCTCCTGAGAGCTGCGACTTTCCTGAAGGATTTGTTTCCCTAGAAAAATCCTGAGATAGTGTGGGACATCCTGGTATCCTCAGAACCAAGCCCTTCTCCTGTCTGCCACCCCAGAGGGTGTAGACGGCCTCTCCAAGCTCTGACTTGGGGCACAAAATATCTTTAAACTCACAAAAGGCAACCCTCCTCCAAGGACAAAAGTCGCCGGTTGCCACGCCTTCGGCAGTCTCCATTGGGTACTGCAGCCCTCCCAGGGTAGCTGGTGTCTGCAGAGGGTCCCGCAGGAGCCTTCTGTGAAACCCTCGGGTCGGGGATCTTTCTACTGCAGCTAGTTCAGAGGGTTCTCTCTTGGCAGGTTTTCTAGAAGAGCAAGGTTAGACGGAAATTGGATACCTAGTGTGTCTGGTTAGAGTTTGGCTGACCCTGCAAGCCTGGGTGAAAGTTGCTGGGACGGTGGTCAGCCCGCTGCTTTCCCAGGACGGGCTCTTGTGTTCACTAGAGTTTATAGTAAAACTGCTGGCGTGTTCTGTCAGGAATGCAGCGATGCCCAGAAGGGCCCCCGGTCCCAGCAGACCACAGCGTTGTGTCTAAACTCTGCTCTGGACCATTTTCTTTCTCAAACCCAAAGCAAAAGAGTGATTCCTTAACATATTATACCTACTGAGTAGATACTCTTATAAGTTTAATGGATTTTATAATTTAAAATTATTTTAAGGAACAAAGGCCCTTCATTAACCAGCCCAAAGCTGTGTGTGCCCTCTCAGCACATGAGGGCTTCATATGTAGGTCACCAAAGGCTTGTCCCAAGCTGGGTGCCAGAGTCACTTCCTTTGCCCAGTGTGAGGAGTCACTGGGGTCTGCAGAGGGTCTCCTGAGGCTGATGCCTTGGTCACATGACAACACTTACGTGCACAGTCATTTAAATCCAGTCTGGTGAGGGGTCTGCACTGAGCCTCAGGCGCATTGGGAAATGCAGGTGGAGAGTCCTGTTGGCCTCAAGGTCACCTACACGTGGGACTCTGGGGTCAAAAAGGCAGATGAGTGGTCAGGGCAAGACCAGGCAGATGCAGGGAACCAGGGCCAAAGTTGGGCCGGGCCTCCCAGTGCCGCCTGCAGATAGAGTAGCTGTCACTTCTCTAGAATGAAGCTGCCCATGCCAAAATGTTTAGCTCCCTCATGGGAGAGCCCCCTATCCTTTCTGCACCCCAAATGACACAAATGCTGAGCAAGGCCAGGAGGGTTCCTCTTTGGCCCACGAAGTCATCCATCCACCTTGACCTTCGTCAACCCCCCTCACCCCAGCCCTCTGTGGGGCCCAGCTCCTGCTGGGCCCGGACAGCTCTTAGGTCAGCCTAGTGCATACAGTTGGCACTCAGCAGTGCCTGTTCATGACTATGGCATTGAGGTGGCCAGGCATGCAAGCTTTGCCCTGAGTTTTCCATTCCTTCTCTCTCCCTGTTTTTGAGCTGCCCTGTTCACTCCTCAGTGTTACCTAGTTCTCATTACATCAATTAAATGCCATGGTGCGCAATCCATTTGTGCCGAGCTCCCACTGGAAGACCTCATGGTGCTGGGCCTGGCAGGAAAAAGAATTAACGCTTATTGCGTAATCCATTCTCCTTCTAGGGGGATGCCTGCCTTCCTGGGGGCTGGTGGAGGGGAGGTCTGAGCACAGGATGTGCAGAGAGCAGTCCTGGGCGGGGGAGGGCAGGAGGCGAGAGGTGAGTTAGCAAAGTGGCTGCCCCTGCCCTGACCCCAAGGCCCCTCCTCAGCCCCCATGTGGGGAGCTGGGAACAGGCAGCCCTGGGTGGGTTCTCATCTCCCCGGCTATCTCCTCTTAGCCCACCTCCTTCCTGTCTGATTAGCCCCGCCCTGAAGTTCTGGGGCCTGGCTCCAAGTTCGAGCCTTCCCTTCTCTCCCCACCCCGACTCCTCAGGACCTTCAGGGGGTGGTGATGAATTTTCAGATAATCTACCTCTGCTGTCCCAGCCCCTCTCCGACATGGCAGCGCCTACCCCATGGGTGTCAGATGGGACCCAGGTTCTGTCCTCTTAGGGAGGGGCACATGTCTGGTGTGTGAACCCTCTGAGCACCCCACGAGAGTGGCTGGCTTCCTTCTGGGGAGGAGTCTGTCCTATGGCCCATCTTCTCTGGGGGGCAGGCGGACAGCTAAGAATCAGGGCCCATGTCCTGTTCTCCTTCTGAGAATGGGAGCCTCCCAGAGAGCTAACAAAGCATGAGCTCTGAGGAATTTGGGATGCCTTGGGAATATTTGCATTTCTCCAGAAACCCCTGGGCTGTGGTCACCTGGGGTGGCACAAGTGGGAAGCAAGACCCGCGTGTGACCTGCCTGAGAGTGTCTGTGAAGTCAGTCCCCACGCTGCGGCCGAGGCCATGCCGAGAGGTGCCCGTAACACTGCATGCACCTGCAGAGGAGGGGCCAGTGGTTTTCTTGCTTTTCCAAAAACCACTAAGGAGAGCCTGGACCTAACCTGAAATTTTGGTGGGTCCTTGGGGACAAATAAATAATAAATAAAAACACAAATAAGCCCTGCTTTTTTGGTGTTTTTTGTTCTGATTCTAGAGCTATTGATCCGAGAACTTGTGGCATCTCCCCCAGTCCGATTTGACAGGACCTCACTTTTTTGCATGACTTGAGGATGGGGCTCCCTGGAGGGCTGCTCGAGGCTAAAGCTGCCCCGGTTCTGGGGGGGACTGGCTGACATGTCTCCGTTCTCTGTGGCAGGTCCCTCTGTCCCAGATGGCCTATGGACCGTCTGCTCCACCTCAGATCCTCTACAACCCTGCCCAGCAGATCCTGGCCTACTCGGGCTTCTGCCCGGCGCCCGCGGCCCTCTCCACCTGCTCGTCGTATCCTCTGCCTCTCCAGGTAGGCCGAGCATCGCCTGCCTGAACAGGTGTGCTCATCTCACGGGCAGCGGCCACGCAGGACAGTGCTGGTCAGACGGGACTTGGACAGGGGCTTGGGTTGAGGGAAAACCTAGGGCTTCCCTGTCCTGAGGCAGGTAATGTGGTGGCTCAGCGTGCGTGGACTGGAAAGGGGGCTGGGGACGACCTGAAGGGTGAGGTGGCGGGTAAAGCCACACGCATCCCCCTCAGACAGATGTTCCACAGCCCCGTTTGGCCTTTTGGACATCCTTTGCTCCGTGTGGCCCTGGTGACCCGCTAACTGGTGTCTTTCGGGGCTCTAACATTTTCTAATCCACAACCTGGTCCCACAAAAGTTCACTGCAATTTCCCGGCCAGAGCAACTAGGGACATAACATCATGTGCCTGGGTCTCGTCAACATAGCAAAGTTATTTAAGTGGAGTCATGTGAATTTGCTAAGATCCAACTGAACAGTACCCACAAAAACGGTGACTTCATAGACTCACCCTAAAATAATGCCGTTGGCCTTGGGGTTGTTGTGGGAACAGGAACACTTGGTGGCGGCGAAACCTTATTTGTAGAGCGGCTTTGGCTTTTTCCTACCACTTCCATTTGTGGTTTCAGCGTTTCCTTCTTTATACTTCTTTATATTCTAGGAAGTATCTGCTTGAAATAGACCCTGACAATCTGTCACCTTATGGAGTCCAGACCAGGGGCCCTCAGCCAGGGCCCTGTTGACGTTGGGGCCAGGTGGCTCTGGGGGTGGAGCTGCCCTGTGCGCTGTAAGATGTTGAGCAGTGTCCCTAGCCTCTAGTGCCCCCTCTGTTGAGACAACCAAAAATGTACCATATGTTGCCCAGTGTCTTCAGGGGGACAAAGATGAGAACAACTTATTTAGGCTTCCATTTTGGGGTGGGGCAACCAGAGGGACTTAGCACATTTTCTTTTGCCTATTTTGCGGTTTACAATATTCAAACGTATGAAGACTTGGGTTCTTGTGCTTTGGCGGGAGGGGCGGCTGTGGGTAAATAGGCGTTGGGGAGCTCAGACCCTGATCATTTGTTATGCAGTCAACACCTTCATCTGTTGATTGAGGAAACCAGCGCCAGGTAAAATGGTCCTTGTAGGCACGCAGCAGCCGGGGCTCTTGATAAGCCGGGAGCCTGACTTCCAGGTGCTGCGCAGGCGTCCTGCTCTCTTGCGGGTATGACGTGTGCCCCCCAGAGACGCTCTCTTTATAGGAGTGCAGGATGTGGGTGGATAGTCTTCCATCCCCTGAACACGGTGCTGGTGAATGGATCTACTTTATTCCAGTGTCATATTCCGTCCTTCGGGGGCCGCTGGCTCTTCACAAACAGCAGATACCCCCTCTTTACCCTCCCGGGGGAGGCCTGGGCTCCCCTCCCCATGGCCTAATCAGCTATTATTGCCAGCACATGGAGGAGTATAATTACATCTTCGTCAATAATCAAATTTTGAGGAGAGGACAAATCAATGAGGTTCTTGTGTTTCCTTAGGAGAAAAACAACAGAATTGATGCTTCTGTTTTTGCTGACCAACAGAGAAGGAAGGGGAACACTTAAATGTCCTGCTGAAGTTATCGGCAGCAAAGTCACATAGTAGCAGGAAGTGAGACAGCTGTCGGGAGACTGTTTTGAGCAGTTGGCCAACAGAAAAATTTTTGAAGAGAACCCACCTTCTTTGTTCCTTAGCAGTTGCCTGGTCAGGAACATCAGGGAAGGGGTTGGCGTCGATGAGTTTTGGTGAACAAGGACAGAAGCAGAGATTGAGCTCATGCCCTGTAATTAAGGGATTTTTTTTGTCCCCTCCCCTGGTGGGGGTTCCTGTGCAGGCAGAGCCTTTCCCTGGGGCAGCCCTGTCTGTCAGGATAGTTTATAGTTTCTGGCGTTTTACTCCATGGTTCAGGGTGGTTTATTCTGTGGTTTGTGGTGGTTTACTCCATGGCTTCTGGCAGTTTACTCTGTGATTTGGGGTGGTTTATTTCATGGTTCTTTCTGTTTTTTTCCCCCTGGTTCTTGGTGGTTTATTCTGTGGTCTGGAGTGGTTTATGCTGCGGTTTGCTCATGTGCTCAATTCTAATGAAGAATTGAGTGGACACTTACATGGTAGAATCTGGGAGCTGCCAGCAGATCTGAGAAAATGCTCTCTTGAGGTTTGCTTGGTTCCTGTCGTCCCTCAGAAGAGGTGTGAGTTTGAGAGAAAGAAACAAAGCTGGGCACAGGCCCTGGGCTGTCAGATCCTGAAAGCCCAGGCAACTGTTGACTTTGAGGAAGGTGACATTCTTGGCTTCAGGTACAGCTTGTGAGAAAATCCTTCCTTCAGAATGCTGAGGTCCTGGGGCTACCAGGCCTCCTCCGTAGGCAGGTCTCCAGGAGGAGGCGAGGCAGGCAGGCCGGTCTCTTTGGGGCCCATGGCACCGTGCGGGCAGAGAGCAAAGTTTACACAGCACCACCAGGAGACCAGAGCCCTCAAACACTCACGCTGTGTTATTTCACAGAAGGGATTGTTTGCTTTATTTATTTAAATATTGATTTTAGGTAGGCATTCTCAACTCTTAGAACTTAAAAAAAAATTTAAGAGGTTTGTTGGCAGGTGGAGAAAACCTGGAAAAACATTTTTCTCCTCATAATCACTTTTACTTGAGTCTATGTCAGGGTTCTTGAGAGAAACAGAAGCAACAGAAAGAATGCACACAATACAGAGACACAAACATAGATACAGATTAGATATGCACATAGAGAAGTAGAGAGATAGGAGTAGAGCAAAGGTGTCTAAAACCTGCCGGGCAAGAGACCCAGGAAAGAATGGATCTTGCAGTTTCTGAGTCCAAGGTCAGTCTGCTGGGAAAATCCCCTCTTCCCCAGAAACCTCGGTCTTGTTCTCTTAAGGCCTTCAGCTGATCTGACGAGGCTCACTGACATTGCCCAGAGTGATCTGCTTTACTCAAAGTCTACTAATTTTAATGTTAATCCCACCTACCAAGTACCTTCACAGCAACATGCAGACTGGTGTCTGACCAAACATCTGGGCGCCGAGGCCTGGCCAAAATGACGCATAAAATTAACAGTCCCACTGGGTAACAAATACTGAGTTCTTGGTTTTTTCCTGAAAGTACCAAGTAAACCCAGCAGTCCCCAAATGAGCTTGGGAGGCCTTCTTCTTGGACATGTTTGCACTTCTGTGTGTCCTGGTGCCAGTCTGGTAAAGGCCCCCCTACATCCACATCCGGAAAGTCAAGACTCACACAGCAGGCAGGAGGGCTGGGGAGCCTGAGGAATTCCACAGATGGGTGTTTCCACAGGCGGCTGCAGGAGCAGGGCTTGTGCAAAGGAGGCCGCAGCTGGGCAGCATCGGGCCCTCCCTCTGGCCTCCCTGAGAACACACTGTGGTCAGGGAGTGTTCCCACTAGAAGAGCCGTAGTTAGGCAGGTGACCCTGGGCTGGGCAGGGGGAGCCCCGGCCTGGGCCTGGGTGGGCTCTTTGAGGGATACTCCGCGTGGACTGCATGTGTGGCCGGCCTTCTCCGCTGACTGAGGAAGCCTTTTCTGTTCAATTGCAGCCGTCCAGCAGCTTCCCAGCCTCGCCCTCCACTGACCTCTCTCTGTCTGAGGACACGCAGCCTCCATCCCAGTCCAGCTCCAGCTTCGGGCTCCCGCCCAACGCCCCACCTCTCTATGCTCCAGCCCCTTTCCTCCCTGGGGAGAAGCCTCCCCCCTACGCACCATGACACAGACGGGGTAGATTGCAAAATAACTTCTTTTCTGATTTGTTAAAAAACAAAGCAGCCTCTTCAAAGCCTGCTTCTGCGGCCAACCTCCTAGAGACATCAGGAGAGGATTCTGAAGTCTGCGCCCTCCGCCCCTTCCTAGGCACATCCAGGCAGGGAGAGGCCAGGGCTAGTGGTGAGGATGGAGCCCCAGGGGACCCGGGCCTGGGGACACCTCTGCTTGGTCGCCTTGCCCAGCGTGTAAATCAGACACCAAACAGAGCTCAAATGTCTAGCTTTCACCACTTACATAAAACCAAGTTTTATTTCCCTACAGATTTTCATTTCCTCCTAATTAGTTAGTTGTTATTATTACTATTATTACTATTTTGCAAAGGGCATATGACCTGGGGTATCCATTGTGAGAATCATTTTTAAAGGAAATGTGTTGAATGTTTATATATTTTTATGGGTCCCCAAGAAGGGGCAGGGTCTCCACTCCAGTGCTGTGTTCTCCTGACATTTACTAGCTTGAATGAAAAGATGCTCTGGCTCAAATATAAAACGTTGTTTCTAAGGCCTGTGCGTTGACCATGGTCTGTGTGTGTCGTTTACAAATCTGCCATCGCACCTGGAGAGAGTTTTGATCCCTGAGGCTGCGTGTTTCCTATGTTTAAGGCTTCTGGGCTTCCAACTGTCGTCCATGGAGTGTTCTGAGGGCTACAGGTCTGCTCTGCAGGGCACCCTGTATGTCTGCCCCACTAGGGTGGGCAGCGTCTGAGGCCCTTCAGCCAGAGCCTGGGGTGCAGCTCTGCCTGTTACAGATCAGCAGCTATAGACCAAAGGCCCAATGTGTACCCACTTGCTGCAGACCCACCTGAGGCAGTAGGTGGGCACAACCTTGGAAATGATCAAAAATCCTGGCTGAGTGACAGGCCAGAGTCTCTAAATGACAGCCCTGGACCATTGGGGAAAAGCAATGAGGGAGGGAGAGGGGGAGAGGAGGAAGGGGAGGGAAAGGAGCGTTTTAAGAAGACGTGGTCTCCTGCTCCCCCCTGCTGGCTGAGAATGCAATGCTGTCCGACACACAAAATACTCTCAGCCCACATAGAAATATCTCATGTTTAATTTTCTCAGCATGCAGGAGACCTCCTCTAAAGAGGGCAAACACACACATTCAAACCAGGAAACGACACACATGGCATATGGCAAACACAGGGTGAGTCAGGCCCTGGCATCTGGCTGATTGACCTTGGAAAGGTGACTGATGACAG